GGGTCCCAAGGTGGGTAGATCTGCAAACGAAACGCTCTGGGGGGGCAAACGGCTCTGTGTTTAGGCCTATACGACCATTTCCTGATAACGTTGAAGCCATAGCCCCGCCTCTCCCCACCTCTCCTGCTCAGAGATCAGCTGCTGGGCTCTCAGAAGTGGGGGAGGAAAAGAGAGGCTCCGTTTTTTATTATTATATAGAGTCGTTATTCATTTGTTTTAAAGCGCAATACATAACCAAGAAGACCTTTGACCGGCACTTTTCTAATTTTGTCCGGAAGATTTAAACTTTAACGGACATGTTGACCAGCGAAAAAAGATCTAACTGAAACTCTGCCTCACGGTCTGCTGGTGGACTACCGGAGAGATTTACAGCAGGAGCAAGCGCAGGCCTCGGGGAGGGAGAAAAAGAGCCAGAGCGTCCACAGCGGGAATAAGAGAAGGGCAACCATGGCAACCATGCACGGGAAGTCTTCTTCGCTGCTTTTGTGGCAGGACTACAGCGCCACTTACAGGCCTGGCATATGTACTACAGCGTCTCCAGCGCTTTTGAGCGGTCTCGTGTGAACGGACACGTTTCTGGTGCCTGTTGCGTGTGGACTGAAGACTTTTTTGATAACGATTGCGGTCCGTTTGCGTTATCGTCCTCGTGTGCCTCCAGCCTTAGTCCACTGAGAGATTGTTAGCAACATGCTACAAGGTATCATTTTCAGTTGGACCTCTCCAACCTTATCCTTTCTGATAATCCAAATAAACTGTTGGATATTTGTAATGTTAGAAGAAAGAAGTTGATTTAGTCACCATGACGTCACCTATAGGTCTGTGGAATTTCTTTTTGACTTGCAAGTTTGGGGTTTGGGCAGTTGCCATCTTTGTTTTGGAACCATAAGTGACTAGAGAGAAAGGGCCAAAATAAACCTTTACCTTTCATGATCTGAAAAAACATTGTGGAAGGTTTCAAGTTTTAAGACAAACACACGGAGAGGTCTTTTTCATAGGTTAATTTTTTCATACACTTCCATCAAATCAGTCTCTTTGAAACCAGTTGACCCGGGCTGGATATTAAACACATTTTTGAAGGCACTTGTGCATTGGCTTTCATTTTTTGAATGGAAGTTTGTCGCCGTCTAATCCTCTGACTGCTGTTGTTTTGACCCCATTTGACATTATTGTAGAAATGCTCTTCTTCTTGCTGGTCTTAGCGATCATTTGTAGACACAATGTAATCAGAAATGGTAGAAAAGATAGACAAAAGCTAACCCTAACCTTAACACCTACCTTAAGTTGTAACAAACCTATAATGTATGATGTCCTTTATTGTTTTATGTTTCATGTCGAACCTATAGGCTGCAGGTCTCCCTTGAAAAAGAGATCTATGATCTCAAGGGACCAATCTGATTAAATAAAGGTTTGAAATGAAATGAAACCACATCTATCCTTCAATCTTTTAAAGAAGAGCAAACTCTTTCCTAATTGAACCGCACACATAACAACACATCATCCATATTCCCCTTTCTCTGTATGCACTCTGCTACTAGCGTTGAAGAGAGGAAGCCAATGCGTTGAATGTAACATTCTTCTAAGTGTGCAATTACTTAGAGGTGTCTTAAAATGCCAGCCTGACTCTGTGCTGAGCTCCATCTTGTTATGATCCACTTCAGGATCTGCACTTTCATAGAAAACCCAGAGTGTTATCCTGCTGTTGATCCCAAGAGCTGTGGGCCAGGCGTGAGAGGGACTGAGCCAAAGTCATTATGGGATTTTGAGTAAAGTGAATAGAAGCCAAGCTAAAGTGAGGAATTAGATGAGTACAGTGCCCAGGGGAACACAATGGAGAATCAGGAAGAAAAACAATAACCTAGGTTTTATCGATGGTCGGTTTAACAGAGCTAAGAGTGTGGCATGCTGTAGAATGCAGACTGGTGCTAATCCCTTGTCTAGATAATTTAAGGGAACATGAGATGATGATAGAAGGTTCACAAAGCCTGTTTCTATCTCTATTCTGTACATTCTTAGCATTAGAATGTAAGTAAAATAATATGTTGGCTGATAAATGGCTTTAGAGAGTACTTTTTGCATCTAAAATAATATTTAGCTGCCAGAAAATAATTCAAAATACAAATTGGGTTTGACCCCCTGAAGAAGGTTAGACAGAAAATACACAATGTCCCACTAATGCTGACCAACTCTGGTCCACTTTCTAGCAATTATGTCTTTTTACAAAGGAAAATCAGGCTGACAGTGAGAAAATAGAGAAAGGGAAAAGAGCCCATGAGTTAGAAAAATAAATATTTCTTCTTAGTTTGTCGTAAATATAAGAATCCACAAATATATCGTCTAACTCCTCGCCACTGCAACAGAAAGTTGCTCTGTTCTACTTCTGAAGTGGTGAAAAACAAGCACTTTGTATGTGGGTCTTTATCATCACTAACAAAAAATAGGCCATTTAAATACACTATTCATTTTTAGAAAAGAATGTTAACAGCGTTAAGAAAAATGAAACGTGTGCATGAGAGGCATTTTTCTATCAGCTAGCCTAAATGCTTGACTTGATAATGCTCCTCGATTTTAAAGAATTCCAGCCGATTGAATGTTCTTCAGGTAGAACCCTTCTATCTAGAAATGAAATATGTCTACAGCCACCTTGGGAGGTAAGAGTTCTGATGGCATCCTGACCTGCGGGGCTCTCACCATGGACGGGAACCCTCCGCTCTCTCTGTCGCTGTAGCCTTCACTCATATCGGCCAGGTTGGTCATGCTGCCACCGTGGGTTCCATTCAAGGTGCTGTTGTACTGCTCGATGCTTTTAGACACTTCCTGTTGGCTGTCCTGGATCTGGGACAACTTGCTGCGAGCCTGCAACACACACACACACACACACACACACACACACACACACACACACACACACACACACACACACACACACACACACACACACACACACACACACACACACACACACTTCAGTGCTCTTCTTGCTTTCCTAAACTCTTTGTCGATGTCTTTGATTTGTGCAGCCTCCTGCTGGAGTTCCTGAGCACACACACACTCACAACTGTTTTCACAGCAGTGTTTACATCATGAGAACAGGGTTGAAGCACAGACACTGGGAACAAAACATAATAAAACGGAAACAGACATCAACTTAAAATAGATTTGAGAATCAGGTAATGGTATCTAGCCATGTCAATACATCTGGTTTTATTTATCCAGATTCACCGATTTCTTCCTCCACTCTAATAAAAAGCAGGAATTCTGTTAGTGGTGCTCATTAACAAAACATTTTTACATTAAGCATGTAAAGGTTTATCCTGAATATTCAATTCAAGTCTTATGTACACTATATGTTCTATATACATCTAAACTTCTCTACATAGAATGTAAACACTAGGTGAAGTTGTTTTTTGGTAATTGGGGAAAACCATAGCTTTAACTTAACAGTGTTCGACTTTAGTACATTTTTCAAAATAAAAACCTTAAAGCACATCATTCATAAAGAAAATTCAAAACATTTACAACTGCACGGAACCTTTTGCCTTAATATCTAAGAAGACAAACAATATTGACTTTTTACAGCCACTTTTGAAAAGAAATAATACTTAGTAAATGGATTTTAGGTATCACTTTGAGAATCTTTGAGATAGAATATCAATAGAGACCTTTTGTTTTGATGGTATATGGCATGTTTTTTAGTTGCCTGAACTGCTGGAAACCCGCTGCAGGAGGGAGAATTTATGAATAATCAAAAGGTCTAGGGTCAGTATGTCATTAGAATCAACATGAAAGTCCCTGGAAGCAATAAGACTGGATATTATTACAGGTGAACATGAGGAAATGATTAGCTGCTGAGACCTAAAGCCTCAGTGTGACCTTCTAACTCGAAGGAAGGAGCAAATAAAAACTGTATTGGTTTTCAAATTCAGGAGAAAATAATCTTATCTGGGCTCAACCATACGGCCAACATGATGGATGTTAAACAGAGAGAATGAAGAAACGCTATGCAACAACCACAATGCATGTATCTGAAGTCAAGCTGTGGATATAAGTCGGTGTGGTGAAGTTATGTGTGAGAAATTAGTGGCTCTTTGGAAACAGACACAACACAATATTAAACACACAGAGACACACACAGAGTAGATAATGAAGTGCACTGGTGCCCCCTGTTGACAGTTTTCTGTAACACACAAACAGGCCGTGTTCCTACCTGGTTGATCTCATCCTGTGTTGCCTTCAGGGACTTGATGATGGTCTCCAGTTGGATCTTGCCAGCAGCCAGGCTCTGCTCCAGCTGGTTCTCCTCCTGCTGCAGCCGGCCCAGGTCGGCCTTGGCCCGGATCAGCTCTTCCTCCTGGCACTGCAGATCGGTCTCCTGGGAGTGGATCTGATTCTGGAGCGTCGAGATCTGGAGTCAGAGAAGAGAATGAGATGAACACCGGCCAAGCGACAACAGCTCATGTTTACATCGGGTGAATTATTCAAATCATATGCTGCCATCAAATGATTAAGACATTATCTGTAGCTCTGTGTGAGGCATCATACTGTATTGAGCGTTATGAGTATACAGTTACTTTTGCCAAACAGAAAAATAAAGGAGAGATAACTACAGATGATGAAACGTCAACAACAACAAAAAAAACTGCCAGCAGGCTGACTTCACAAATGAGACATTGTTTGGATATCTGAAAACTCATCAAAACTGTAGCAAAGCTATTGATGTGGAAACTGAGGTGGCTGTTTCTCAGTCTGAACAGGTTGAAGAGGCACTCTTCCTGGGTGATAACAAAGCAGGCCAGCCGGTCGCATCACAGATTTCAGAGCGCTGGGCTCTGCCTGTTATTCGTCCTCCCACATCCC